GATGATCTGAGGATCCTATTGCTCGAATTATGACTGGGGAATATGCAGATTCCAGGTCTGGGAGGGTGTTTCCATTTTGCCCTCAAAGTAGTATTTCTGAAGCTGGAGGCTGTCCAAGAAACCATGTGCGTTTGTACACAGCGGGTGGTGTAATCAGTACACATGGGGGAGAGGGCACATGGAACACCCTTGCTTATGAGGGGAGACAGAGTAGATGAATGGAGGCTAGTTGTTCACAGACGGTTTGCAGGGAACCCAGGTCACATCACCCAAAAACAGCGTGTGAGAACCTTGTTTGTTTGAGAGGATACATCAGCCCAAATGTATTCCCTTTAGCTTCTACTGGAGGCAGTGAAGGGCCACCATAGCACCGCTAGAACCCATGGGGCTTAATGTGGCTAATATTGGCTTGATTGAATTTAGTGAAACCTGCTATTTTGTGAAACCTGCCAGATTCCACCTACAATCTATTAAGTCTATATTACTTTGAGCGATTACAGCTTCAAAGGCAGGACATAATTGCCTCAGCGAGTTATCATTTTATTAACGAGCGAGCCTTTTCACTTGTACAGTTTAAATGCCATAATTTATCAGCTTCTGTATTCCAAAAGTGGATTTTTCTGAAAATTCCAACACTTTCCCTTGGAATGTACACCCGATTCTTCTATTTTTACAAGTGCAGCAGTATATGCTTTTTAGTTCTCTTTCCCAGCAGTGTATCTCCAACTGCAGCAGAGAAGAAAGAAAGTACATCCACTTTCTGTTTTAACAAACAGATAACTGGAGAAGAGATGCGCGTGCATCAGTTCTTCATTCCTAATGGAATTTCTGTCTGACAGTGAACTACTTTTAACAGTAGCCCTAAACACAAAACAAAACAAAACACCTCCACACATTCTTTTGTGAAGGCAATTCGTTTGCCTACTAATTAAGCTGGCTCAAAATATACATTCCTTATGTACAGATGTCGGGATGTATTTAGTAATGAAAATGCTCCAATAGGACTGAAATGCACTGAGTCCTGCAATGGAACAGTTGATCATAAAATGATAACCCTGGCTTGAAAACGGTTCACAAAAAAGGTTATCTTCCTGTGTTGGAGCCGCAAAGAGTGACACCCAACTAAATTGGGACTCCATTAGTCTAATGAGAAAAACAGAACAGCAGGCTATTGAAACGGTTGCTGCAGCATTAAATGCAGCTAGCAGATTGCAGGTTCTTCCCTGCAAAGTGCTCCAGTATCAATGCACCTCGTTGTGACTTGGGACCTGCGTGTGAGGCGGAAAGACCTTCTGATGTCATTCAGTTGCCTTTCTGGATCAACCCCAAGGCCATTCACTAATGATGCCTCCAGAGACTCACAAGCAGGGCATATCAGTGATTGCCCCCCCTCCTGTTTGCCCATAGCTCTACATCTCCAAAGCTGTGCTGTGCCTGAGCAGTGAATTGGCTCTCGCATGCCCTGATGTTCTGCCCATTCTTAAGAAAGAAGGAAGAGAAGGACTGTGTACAGAACCAGATTCCTATTCTGCACAGTCCACCTTTTTGGAGTTATGCAATGTTTGACTTTACAGCAGGGAAGATCCCCTAGTGAAAGCTTCTAATGATTCGGCAACCTACACACAGTACTGGTGACACTGTGCATCCAGCCAGTTGAGGTTCTTCAAAAGCTCATGTGTGAATGCTGCTTTTTGGCTGCTTTTGTAAGACCAATCTGATTTGAGAATCCTCTTCCTATTTATTATGAATTATGAAGAAGCAGAAGCTAATACAAAAGGTGACTCTGTAAACTCATTTATGCAAATTTGTCAATAACCCATCCAAGAGCGAAGTGTTTGAGAAATAGACACAGACAGAGATAGTGCAAGCCAAAGCGCTGCCTTTAGGTAATGGAGTTCTCTTTCTCAGACAGAAACGCTTCCAGATACCCCCACAAAAACAAAAACAAAAAAACTGCTGCCCACAGCAATGGTTTCCCTCCTCTTAGAAGATAAAACTTCTGCTGGTATCAGTCTACTCTTGCCCAGTCAAAACCATTGAATCATGATTGTATTGTTTGGCTATCAGCTGAGCAGTTCTAATACAAAAAGTTACCATTAATTCATACTAACAAACTCAACTTTTTGAGCAGGGGGCGGGGAATGAATAAGAATCTCATCTAGGAATTCCCATCATCTCCTAAACATTTTGTCCTGTTGAATTGCAAATTGCATAGTGAGGGGCTGGCCAATTCGTTCAGCATTCATGATTTGCAAACACTTGGCATGAGCAAGCCAGTTAAAGCAATCTAATTTTAATTAATATAAATAGCAGAAAGTTAAACCGATGCTTAACTGTCTTATCTTTGGCTGGATCCTGTCCACCATGTTTGCAGATAGCAGTAAGGAATTTGCAGCCTTTATGTACCCCATATCACACACCTTCACAAATGTGTATCAAACGTGTGCAAATGTGGGCACAGGCCCAGAGCTGGTGAATGGAGTATCCATTGTGTGCTTTTTGTGGTAACTCGTTTCCAAGAAATGGCTCCTGATACATCAGGATATGTCACATATCCCTCACCTAGCCATCTAAGGTGGCCATGAGCTCTGGTATAGCCATTCAGATACTATATTTTCAATTGATATAGCTTCTAACTCGAAGCTGTATATTTGGCTTTGACTTCTAACTCGAATTCGTCAAACAGGCAACTACAATGTGACACCCATGCCGTCTGCTCTGGAGCTTTTAAAGATTCATAATTAACCTGTCAACCATCTTCTAGACACTCTTCCGCCCTGTAACTATCAAACCTTTCCAGGTAGAGATGACTAAACTCTGTGCCAATGGGAAGTTTGAGTTGGCCACTTGGAAACAGTGAACACGCAGTGCGGGATGGCCTTGTACGTGGCCTGGTGTGATGTGATGATACAACATGTGCATGCACACCCTGGCTTGAGAATAGGCCCTACGGGCTGTGCTACTTACGGACTGCAAGATGGTATTTGCACGTCCTTTGGCTGTGATGGTTGCGTGAAAGTCTTCCCGCACCCTTCATACACTATTTTCCAAATGGCCCAGCCAGGTGAACCAGGCTTACCAACTGCTTAACTAATCCTTTGACATGTGTGTCAGCTCACAAGCAAGGTATGTTGGCCCACTGTATGCCTTTCTTTCCTTTTCATTTCAGCCTGACTCATCAGTCATAAACAGAGAAGAAGGAAGTGACTATTTCATGCTTCGATTACAACAAACGTAAATCTCTATTGTTATCTTTTCTTTGGAAGTGTTCCCCCCAAGTCCACCCTGTTAAAATGAAATATTACTTACTCAGGGATCAATGCAAGCCATCTGTAAAATGGTTCCTTGATATGCACAGGGCAGGTCTTTTGGCTCATTGCTGGGATGCCTGACCGTGCTCATTTGAAGAGCCACTGTGGCCTCGATCCAAGAAAGCCTAGTCATGATGATTCACTGAACCCACTAAGATGACTCATCGCCAAATGAACTTAGGCTCAATTACTTTTTTGGACTCCTGTGCTGAGCAAACGGCAAGTGCCTCAGAAGTACTTCATTCTCACTGCTCTTGCTGATACTGATGCACTCAATTCCCTGTCCGGGACCGTGACTTTTCGGCTTAACTCTCAGAGGCTGCAGTTCTATGCTAGCCTAAACTCATTAGGACAAAGGGCCAATTCATATACGCCCGTTCAGCACACTGACTGTATTGTCAACTGATGGGACCACACGTGTGAATGAGCCATCACAGACCAAACAACCCAGATCAGAAGGTTTAACCACACTGCCTCACACACAGTGCAGTGCAATGGTGCCATTTCACACATTCGGTTGTGAGTCAGGAACTCCTAAGCTTTCAAGGGATGAGAGATGACATGAGGTGCATTCACAAGTAAATATGTGCAGGGCTGCTGTGTGGGTTAAGGGACAGTGGGTCTAACATAGCCACCCTCCAGGTGCGTAGGACTCCAAGTTCTTCCATAGCCGGCCAAAATGGCCAGTGATGCCTCTGCAGGCAGGCGGTTGGGGAACGTGAGTGGGAGAGTGCTCCTGCCCTGTTTGTGGGCTTCCATAGGTATCTGTTTGGCCAGTTAGTGAATAGAAGGCTAGACCAGATAGGTTTATGCATGACTCTTATGTACTTATGGGAGTTGTAGTCCAATACATCCGGAGGGCGACAGATTGGAGAAGTCTGGTTTAACGTTTGTTCTATTGTGCAACCAGGACAAGTACATTTCAATGGTATCTTTCTATGATAAATTAAGCAAACACATGTAAAGAGGACTATTTTGCTCTGAAATGCCATTGATGCCTCCTTTATAGATTGCAACAAAAACAGAAAGGGAAAAAAATTAAAAAGGAAAATTTAAAATTTTTAGTGGCCTCTAAAGTCTGGCATGGTGAAAGAGGGATAAAAATGTAAAAATACCACCATCTTTATTGCATAAGTGTGCTGAGGAATCCTTTCTCTTAAAAGGGCTTCTTTTTTAGTATCCTCCTTTTTCCAGTCTATATAGCTGGCTTTGCAAATTCTTTTATTCAACAATCAGCCGTGGTAATATTCTGCAGTGTCTCGATAGTAAAAAAGAACCAAAAAAAGGAGGGATAGGGAGAGAGAGAGAGAAACAGCAGCAGATGAAGCAAAGGTACAGGGGTCTTATTCTTTTCAAATGTTGGTGCCATTGGGTCTTTGCAATTGCAGAAATTCTTCGGAGAAAAAAGTGTGATGTTTGAGAAAAGGCAGAAGCCGTAAATACTTGGAAAAGAAGACGGGTTAGAAAATAATGCCCAATCTTGTCGCACTGAAGCAGTGATTCCTCTGCTGAGGGTGGCTCGCTCTGCCCACGTTGAAAGGCTGATTTCAGAGGAGAGGGAGAAATGTGGCACTGCATTTCCTGCTTCTTTAAGTGTGTGGGACAACACAGAACGCCCCCTTTGTGCTAACGCCGTCAAAACAGGATTCAGCCCCGCTGAATTCGCTGCAGTTAAAAGAGACCCAGCTCTTGGTACTTCCATTATTATTATTATTATTAATTATTATTATTATTATTTGACAAGGTAGCATTTTTCAGACAAGCATGTGCCTTCGGCGGTGCAATGCCAAGTGATCTGAACGGGAAAAGCTTCGGTCACAGTCTGCACACTTGAACGGCTTCACTCCTGTGTGTTTGCGGTAGTGCCTTGTCAGTTCATCTGAACGCGCAAACTTCCAGGTGCAGCCCTCCCAGGTACATTTGTACGGTTTCTCTCCTAAGAGACAGAGGGAAGCAAAAAGGGGATCAGGTTGCATTCAGAGGCCTTGGTATGCTGGTTAGAAAATTCGCAGGTGCAAAAGGAAATGGACTTTTGTGCAGCATTACAATTCAGTTACTTACCAACTCTTCTGCTCTTTTCTACTGCTAAGTCTATGATTGGCATAATTCAAGCACTGAATGGTCTTGAACTACACGATCTAAGGGGTGTCCAGTCATGATTCAACTACCCAACTCTGGATCGAGGAAGGTGATCCATCAAACAACAAGGAAAACTCCACTGTAACCAACTTGGAGGTTAGTTTTTGTTGGGCCACAACTGCCATTGGTCCTAACCAGTCACCATACTTCCTGGGGATTTTGGCAATCACAGACTAGCAATCTCTGGGGATGCGACATTAGAAAATGCTTCTCTACACCAATACGCCAGGTAGCACACCCTGAACTTTGACAAGAGCTTCTACTGGTCTGGCCAACCAGAAGACTGTTCTCATCACTCCCGCTTAGTTACAGACTACCTTTAGCTTCCCCTTCCCCTTTCTTCCCCTTTCTGGCCATTCCCTGCCTTAAACACATAGGAAGATGGCTTGGCAATAATTTTACAGCCCAGAATTCTTCAGAGCTGAAACAATAGTGCAATCAAGTTACAATGGACATGTCCATCATTAGCATGCCCAATTCAGGCAATGGAATAAGAACTGCTGCTGTTGGGTGTGCCAAGTTTCATGATGGTGTCCGGGAGAGAAAAGATCACAACATGTTAATAGCAGCAACTGTGTGGGTTGCAGCATTCCTGTGTCCTTTTTCCTTCTTGGGATGGCCAAATGTGAAAGACAGCGGAAAGAGTTGTACTCCTATCTAGGCAGACATGGCACTGGGTCCTAGGAATTTGGCAGCTGGCAGAACAGGCAGAGGCCAAGTGACAGATGGCTGGCTATTGCTAAAGATGACCTACTTTGCAATGCACTATGACATACCCTCACCACAAACAGCTGGCAAGCAATACCATACAAATACGCCGCCTCATCTGAGGTGGAAGAAGGTCCATAGCAGGAGACTGCAGTGGGGCGTGTGTGGACCTCTAAGGGCACCGTAAGGAGGGAGCAGTGTAAGCTAAGAAGGCAATCCTAAATGCTAATAGTCTAATTTATGGAAATTAAAACCATTTAAGAATTTCCATACATATCATTGTTTAAACCAAATTCCCTTCAGTTTTTTCTAAAGTAAATGTCAAGAACATATCAAGCTGTAATGAAGCTTGAAAATATGACACTAGGGGAAACTACAGGGATCTAAGAAGGTAATTTCTGTTCCCTTTGCTAGTCAATCATCCAAAATAGTTTAGGAAGTGTCCAAATAGCTCAGACAAGAGTTCCTCTGTTCCAGCATGCTTTTTTTCCAACAGTGGTCAGCCAGGAAATCCACCAGCAAGGAGGACAGGAAGGCTTTCTTCTACTGATGGTCTCCAGAAACTGGGATTCACAGGGCCACCACCGTGGACCATGGAAGCTCCATTTGGTTACCATGGCTATTACCTTTTGACAGACTCATCGCCTGTGATTGCACCACATTTGCTTTTAAGGCAATCTAGGATGATGGGTCATTATCATCACTTTGATAGTGAATTCCAAAACTCAATCATGTATTATATTAAGGAATAGTTGGTTTTGTCTGTCCTATCTACCACCCATCCATTTCATTGGGTGAACACAAAACCCTTCTAGAAAGTACTCCAGAAATATGATAACTAATTGGTTATCTCATAGCATCCATAAGCACAATTCTGTAAGTGAAGGATTTTTAGAAACTAGATACTTTTGCTTTTTTGCAGTTACTGGGAAGTCTACTCAGAGCTAACTCACCTCTCTTAGAATGATATGGGATTTGTTAAGAAATGGAAATGCCAAATGTTAATAATAATTTTTAAATGGAAGTAAGTAAAAATACTAATTTTATTAAACAGAGGATACAAAAAGACACAAGCAGGTTGACAATAAATTCCGAGTAACTAACATTTTAACAAGTTGCAGAATGGCTGGATCATATCCAAAGAGAAAATGCTGGATCAAAGCCCCGTCACTTGGGTCAATGAGTTTATCTGAGTAATAAACAGGTGTATTCCTGGTAAAATGTGCACTTGAAAGGCTTGTGCTGATCAATTAATGAAAAGAAAGTATTGCATTCGGCAAACATGTCAGAAAGATTAATATATATATGTCTAAGATATATAGACTTAGGTTTAATAAGGAAATTATGAGTAAGACGTCTTCTCAGAACTTTAATTTAACTTTAATTTAATCCATTAAACTTTAATGGATTTTACAGAACTATAAATACATGCTATGAGTGTGCTTTTCTGTATATTTCAGTTTATTTAGGGATGTTTAATAGTACAATCATGAAGTTCGTGAGCCCTGATTTATGAGACAGCACTAAATATCAGATATGACATGGGTCCTTAACCTTTTTGGACAGATGGGCCACATTTGCCTATTTGAAAAAAAGCTGTGGTCACCCCCACAAAATGCCTGCTAAATCCATCACCACTTTGGCATCTGCCTGTCACGGCTCAGCAAAACCCTTCGGTTCATGTCTAGGGAACACCACCAAGTCTCTTTAACAAGGCATTATCTAATATAGGCAATTGCTGCAGTGCAATACTGCTTTTAAACATACGCTTTGGCAATGGCCACTAATTTCTTCTTTCAGAAAAATTTTGAAGAGATAAATTTTGTCCTGAAATAAACATATTCACATGCTTTTTAAAACGATCCCCCTGCTTCACAGAAATATGAAACAGAAAGAGGAAATAGATTCTCTGTGACCCTTTAACAGTTAAAAACCTGATATTACAAATTTATATGGATTAACACTTGCTTCCAACCATACTGAGCACTTTACTATACTTTTGAAATATGAATGGGGGCACCTGGATGGCAACGTTGAATGGATCCTTTTTGGATATTGGGTTGGCCTTTGCTGAAGCAATATATAACCACTAGAAAGTTGTTCATAATTCATACAAATTTATTTATGAATATATAAAAAACAGAAATTGAAATATTGGGGGTACATGCAAGCAGAGTGTTGAGAATCTTCTGTAGTTGCTGTTTTGAGCCCTCCCCCCATAATGAGGTCTACAAAAAGGTGCAATTGTGTGATGATTTTGGAATGAGGGAACTTACTAGAAGCTCAACAGGCTTGCGTGTCTATCAGCACAACAGGCTATTCAAAACTGAATGGAAAATTTTGAATGAGATTTTCTCCTTTTTAAGCTATTAGTTCTAGAAGTCTGAGAACAGGAACCCATTAGGAATACTATTTTCTGTTCAGCTACTAAGTTGTAAAAATCTTTTGCAATGCTATTTAAAAATATTTTATGTTATTTTATATAAGATAAATTTGATATGATGATATAATCATATTTTAATAACATAATAATACATATTTTCCTTTATTAATTCTTAATGCAAATCTTAGATTAATTCTTAGAAAAAATCTCAGATTGATCCCACCTATACCCATTTTGGAGGTATGCTTTGCTGGAAGTGTATTGATCAGCTACAGGCAGAGAGCTAAAGGCTCATAAATACCGGAGCTATCGTTTGAAAAGATGCAGCAAAGGCCAAATCCATAACCAAGGCTAACTTTCCGAGGAAGAGTTACCTAACATTGCCCGTCAAGGGTTGTGGACCAGAACATGCAACCAGAGTCCAGGACAAAGCTCATTCATTCATTCATTCGTTCATTTATTTATATTGCGATTTATATCTTGCCTTTTTCCTACAAAGGGCTCAAGGCAGCTTACATCATTCTCCTCCTCCATCTTATCCCCACAACAACCACCCTGTGAGGGAGGTTGGGCTGAGAGTCTGGGACTGGCCCAAAGTCACCCAGTTGGCTCCATGGCTGAGAGGGGACTAGAACCCGGATCCTCTGAGTCCCAGTCCCGTGCTCTTAACCACTGCGCCACACTGGCTCTCATGGCTCCCTCCACTACACACTGGATTAAGAAGGAAATCTATCTTCTCAATTCAGCGAAGGAGCACGGAGTATTCCAGCCTTCAGCAGCTTCCTCCCATCCTTGCCTGGCAGGTCTGTTATTTCATGCTGGAAGAAGGGAACGGCCGCATCCGAAACCAGAAGAACAAAAGGCGAGGCAGAGCCTCAAGCTGGTGTTGAACGGTAGTAATTTATTATTACAAATAAATTGCCCAACATTTCAATAGGAATCTTTGCAAACAATAGCCTCTGAGTGAGCTGCTTGAGCTGGTATGCCATGCTAAGCTACATGATGGCCTTTTGCCCTGAGGAAGTGTTTACATGTAATAATAAATTACTCTGAGCACCAGCTTGAGGCTCTGCCTCGCCTTTTGTTCTGCTCCTCCATATCATGGCCACAATCCAAAGCATAAATTTTGTTAGATCTGTGCTGGATTGTGACCCATATGTTTATATGTCCTATTGCTAGGAATTTAGGCCTTGGTGGCCTCTACTGCAATCACAGGGTTTCCTGGCCAGAACAGCCGGCTTCCCCTTTTCGTGCGTACAGCTGCTGCCGTTTTGGGGAACAGGAGGGCCTCCAGAAAATCTGGCATGATTCTCATCTTGCATACGATAATTCTGCACTGAGTATCTGCATTTGCTTTATTTTGACTTTGCTGATCTCCTTGTGCGTACCAATGGACAGGGGATCTGGGATTAATATTAAGCCAGCAAAAAAGCTACAATCAGTTATTGATTCAAGCAAGGAACCATGAAAAATCTGCTGCCGCCAATCACATGCCCTGCTCCAAAGACAGGAGAGTAGGGAAGAGATGGCTATAATTTCGTTTCATCTTCACAACTAGTCTGTGAGGTAGGCTATAGTGAGAACGTGCGACTACGGGTGATCCTAGCTGGGGCTTGGCTTGTTCAAATGCTTTGCCTCAAACATGGAATTTTCAGGAATGGGGGAATGGAAAATGGAAAACGCCGTTTTCCATTTGGAACCCCTCC